GGTGCATACCTGTAATCCCAGCAGTCAGGAGGCTGAGGCAGGAGGATCACTGTGAGTTCAAGACCAGCCTGGGCTACATAGTGAGGTCCAGGGCAGTCTCAACTACATAGTGAGAACCTGTCTCCAAAACCCCCCAAAAAACCAGGCACTCTATAAGTCTGAGGCAGGAGGATCTGCAGTTAGAACTCAGCCTGGGCAACTTAGAGACTTAGCAACACCCTGTCTTGAAATTAAAAATTGTAAAAGGATGGGAATGTAGCTCAATGTGAAGACCTTCAGTTCAGTCACCCAGTTTTAAAATTTTCAGTTTAAAAAGTTTTTCTTTAAAAATGAATTATAAGGGGCCGGAGATTTAGCTCAGTGGTTTCACCACCTGCCTTGGCAAACGCAAGGACCCGAGTTCAATCCCTGGTACCAAAAAAAAGAAAAATGAATTATAAGGCCAGGGGTGGTGGCGCATACCTGTAATCAGAGGCTGAGGCAGGAGGATCTCTGTGAGTTTGAGACCAGCCTGGGCTAAATAGTGAGTTCCAGGTCAGTCTCTACTACATAGTGAGACCCTGTCTCAAAAAAAAAAAAAATTATAGGACAAGGGGTTTACTCAGAGTGGTTCCGATGCCTGCCTCACAAGTGCAGGGTCCCAAGTTGGATCCCCAGTACCAAAAAAAAAAAAAAAATTCTATAAAAAAATGGATCATATGAAATCTGACAGCACTGTTGAAGGAAAAGAAGCTGAGTTCGAGGAATGGTGTTGCACATCTCAGTTCTGCCGTCTTACGTGGAGTAGCTGATTCCTGCCTGCCACTTAGTCAAAGTCACTTTTCCGGGTTCCTCCCAGTGGCTGTATCTGTACCCATCAAGAATAATTTGAAAAAGCCATCTTCTCTGATCAGTTCTGAATGGGTCAGGAGCTACTGCTACTGTAAATACAGAGATGAAGTGGGAAAAATGAGGCCTAATTGGCTGCCTCTGTGAGCACAAGCAAGGCTAACACACTATAGGGAGAAGTAAAAACACGTGAGGTAGAGTTGTTCACTCAGAAGCACCGTGGAGGGTGGGAGACAAATGAATCCTGTGGGGCTCTGTGGAAGGGAGAGGAGATCCCTAACCACCCAGATGTTAACCTGTTTCTGTGTCTCTGTGTTTCATCCTTGTCACCCCTTGCTCCGATTCAAGCTCAGCTCAGGCCGGTTCCTACATAGAAGTACATCTAGGCTGCTGTGTCCCTGGGAGGTTCTCATGAAAAACGATCCTGCCTGTTCTGGTAGCAGATGGAACATGAAAGCATGAAATAAAGTTACCATGCTCAGTGCCTAATACACAAAAGTGCTGAAGCTGGAGTTGATAGGATGGCCATAGTTGTTCTTAAAACTCACAGGGTTTGGGCCGGGGATTTAGCTCAGTGATTCTGTCGCCTGCCTCCCAAGCACAAGGACCAGAGTTCAATCTCTGGTACGAAAAAAACCCTTAAAGTTTGCTAGCATTCCTGGCTACACCCACCTGCTTTCCCACCTTTGTGTCTGGAGATTGACTTCAACTGCCTATACTGACTGGTCCTCACCTCTTTCCTGTTCTGACTTACATTTCCTTTTTTCCCATTCAGTACCCCACCCCCCAAAAAAGTGGCTGCTTTGTGAGAGGCAGAGGTAGACTTAAGCAGGCATGATGGCACATGCTTTTAATGCCCAGTACTCAACAGGAGGATCACCGGGAGTTCAAGGCCAGCCTGAACTACATAGTGAGACCCTGTCTCAAAAAAACAAAAAAGGGCCGAGGATTTAGCTCAGTGGTTCTGCTGCCTGCCTTACAAGCGCAAGGTCCTGAGTTCAGTCCCCAGTAACTGCCCCCCAAAAAACGTATAAACTACACAAATGATTATATAAACCTTTTATTTTAGCCAGGCGTGGTGGCACACACCTATAATCCCAGCAGTCGGGAGGCTGAGGCAGGAAGATCGCTGTGAGTTCGAGACCCGCCTGGGCTACATAGTGAGACCCTGTCCCCAAAACAAAAAAGTTTTTGTTTTACCTGCACAGAACTCGGGAAATTTGAGTGATTTGGGTTTGGTTTGGCTTTTTAAAGCAGGGTCTTGCTCTAATTCAGGCTGCCCTCAAACTCGTGGCAGTCCTGCCTCAGCATCCCATAGTGGTGGGATTACAGGTGTACACCATGACCAGTTTAAGAAATTTGAATGATTTAACCAAAGTCACCTATCTTGTAAAAGTAGTTTCCAGTTCTTTGAAAGTCTGCATAGCTGGGCCTGATGGCACACGCTGTGGTCCGACACTTGGGAGAGTGAAGCAGTACAATCACTAAGTTCAGGATGAGCCTGGACTACATAGTTCAAGCCCGTCCTGAACTACGTAACAAGACCCAGTCTCAAAAGAAATGCATTTTTATATTTTATTCACCTTTTTGCTGAGTGCCTACCACAGCCCAGGGCCTTAGCACCTTTCTATAAGTCTTCTGTTGACCCACTGAAAGAAGTATTATTCCCATTTTATGTACGCTGCAAAAAGGGCCAAGAGTGTTTACAAATTGGCTACAGGGGAAACAGTTTCATCTGCTAACACTCAACACTGGAATGAACAAATCCCCCCCATGCCAACCAGTTCTCTAACCACGCAGCTAGGTGTCCTGTAATTCATTTGTGACAGCAGGATTAGTGCAGATCCCACAGGCTAAGAAACCAGTCCCACAGGACTGTCCCACACATACTTCAGGCAGCGGTGGAGAGTAATGGATCCCCACGTTACCCACACTTCTGTCCAATCCTGTCAAATCGGGAGTTCCCACAACCCAGTGATTGGGTGCAGTAATTTGCTATGGTGCCTTAAGAACTCCAAAACATACTAGTTTCTTTTGGTACCGGGGATCGAACTCGGGCCCTCGTGCTTGCAAGGCAGACAGCAGAACCACTGAGCTAAATGCCTGGCCTCACATTTATTAGTGTCTTACAGAGGCTGTAGAAGGTCAGCTAGATAAAGAGGTGCATACAGTGAGCTCTGGGAAGATTCCAAGCACAGGAGCTGCTGTCCCTGTGGAGGTGGAGTGCACCACCCTCTTAGCACTGAATGTGTTCAATCTGAAACCTGTATGTTTACAATTTCTGTGAAGGTTTCATCACCTGGGTATGACTGATGTATCAGTCTCTAGCTCTTCCCTTCTCCTTTCGCACCCTAGGGGTTGGGACTGAGAGTTACAAGTTTTTTATCATGACTGGGCCTTTTCTGGTGGCCAGCCTCCATCCAAGAGCCCACTGGGACTTGTCTCAGAACAGTCATTCCTGTCACCCAGGAGATACCGAGTTTAGGAACTCTGTGCCAGGAGCTGGATCACAGACCAAATACTGGAACAAAATATGGTTCTGGCCCCTCTGTTGGTTAGGAAATCTCAAGTTTTAGGAGCTCTTCCCTGGAGCCAAGGACAAAAGTTTGCTTTTGTTTCATGGTACTGGTGATTGAATCCAGGTCTTTACACTGGGTATTCGCAGCCCCTTATTTTTTATTTTGAGACAGGGTGTCACTAAGTTGCACAGGCCAGGCTCAAACTTGTGATCCCCAGCTGCCCCGAATAATAAATATATATCACTGTAGGATGATGTAGGATTTTTAAACTAACTCAGGTGCCTCCTCAAGTGGAAAAGAAGAGTTATAGAATGGGATTCTCCCCCACCCCGAAGATTGAACTTAAAATCTCGAGTATATTAAGTCCATCTCCTACCGCTGAGTTACACCCCAGGTCCTATCACAGAATTCTTTCAAGAGCAGCCAGGTCAAATGACATGTGCCTGTAATTTTAGCACTTAGGCTGAGGCAGTCAGGATAAGAATCACCATGAGATCAATGCCAGCCTGAACTATATAGCAAGAATTTGTCTCAAAAAAAGGGTCAGCCAGGCATGGTAGCACATGCCTGTAATCCCAGCGCTTAGGAGGCTGAGGCAGGAGGATCACTGTGAGTTTGAGACCAGCCTGGGCTACATAGTGAGTTCCACGTCAGTCTCAACTACGTAGTGAGACCCTGTCTCAAAAAAAAAGGGGGGGTCATTCCCTACTTTCTACTTCACTCATGGACTTCACCTGGAGACCAATCTTTACAATCTGAGTTGTCTGGAGGCAGGAGTGGGAGTGTGGGACCATGCTCAGGTCCCTCCAACAACCTGATAAACTTCCTTGCAGAGGATGCATCTCCACCCCAGCGTCTTCAACTGTACATGCCGTATTCCTTCAGAGTTACACCTTGCCCAGGAGCAAAGGACAGAATTAAAGGACAGTGGGATACAGAACCTGAGCAGGAAGAGAGCTTGTTGGCCAGTCGCCAGGAAGGCTGTAGCATGAGCTAGATTCAGGGGTGTTTTGGTGCAGTGGGCCAGTTGGGGTTAAAGAACAGCTGTTCCCAGTCCAGGCTAGGCAGCTGGAGTGACTATAAATTTTAATGAACTACAGACAATGCAGTTCTGTGCGATTCCTTATCTCAGACCACTGATTCTCAGCCTTGGGTGTGCAACAGAATCACTTGACCTGCTTATGAAAACAATGCTGGGCCCTACCCTCTAGTGTTTCTGATTCGCTAGGTCTGAGATGCAGCCTGAGGATTTGCATGTCTAACAAATTTCCAAGCCATTGATGGTAAGGCTGCTGGTGAGGGGGCCACACTTTGAGAACCATTGTCCTTTTTTTTTTCTTTTCTGGTGCAGATTGAACCCTGGGCCCTACTGATGAGGTACACATCAGCCCTCCACCCAGATCTTTATATTCAAAGTGCAGTTCCCAGAGCAGCAGCATAGGCATGGCCTGGGAGCGGGTAGAAATGGAGAATGTTAATTTAGGTACGGTGGTGCACGCCTGTAACTCTCAGAGCTGAGGCATGAGGATTGCTGCAAGTTTGAGGCTAGCCTTAGCCACATAGCAAGACCCTGTCTCACCAAAATAAAACGACAGAAATGGAGGTAGTCAAGCCCCACTTCAGACCTACTGAGTCAGAATCTGTAGTTTAACAAGATCCCAGGAAGCTCCTGTGCAAGAAAGCTAAGCTTCCCAAACATGCCAAAGTTTAGATTGCTAGGCTTCCCCTAATAACTTAGATTCAGAAGGTATCAGAAGACCCTAGAAATAGCTAGTTAAATCTCTCCGGGCCAGGTGTGGTGTGTGCCTGTAATCCCAGCACTCGGGAGGCTGAGGCGGAAGGATTGTTTTGAGTTTGAGACCAGCCTGAGCTACACAGTGAATTCCAGGCCAACCTGAATTATACAGTGAGACCCTGTCTCAAAAGCAAAACAAAAAATGTCACTCCAGTGATTACTATGGTTAGGTCCACAAAGGAAACTCCTATTCATATTCCTTTATTGTGTTGCTGGGATCAGACCAAGCCACAAAAGCCAGAACCACCTCCTCCAGGATCAGGATGAGATGGCAGCTGCTCCCCTCAGAAACAGGAACTTGGGCACGGTGGCTCCTCGGTTCTTTGTGATGCCGTCAGAGGAAGCGGGTGGTTGTGAGAACCACAGAGTCTGCAGATGAAGCCAGCACTCCAAGCACCTGCACCTGTGTCTGACAGAGCTCGGAGCCCTGGACCTTCTTCCCTGGTTGGCTGTGCTGGGGAGGGTCGCTAAGTCTGAGATCACTAAGGAGCACTGGGCTTCTGCACCAACCCCAATGTGCTGCTGACCACAGACAGATGCTGAGCTTCCCAAGCCATCTCCAACTCTGAAGATCCTCCAAAAGGCCCTAACAGGTCCAGCTGAAGCGTGTGTTTTAGCTGCATGTCCTCCCCAGTCCTCTGACTACAAGAAACCAGTAAGTACACTTGCTTCTATTTTCTGCGGGACTTGGGATGGTGAAAAGTCGTCCCCTCCAAGGCTGGGTGTGGGCTTTATTTACAGTAGTATCGTCTCTGATAACACTGTCAGCTGTAGTCTATCGTTCTCTCAGATGGGTGAGATTCCCGGGTGAAGAGGGAAAGGTGGCTGGAAGTGTTGCTCAGTGGGGCTGTGGCTCCAATAGAGACCTCTTTTTAGTTCAACTCTTACCCCAAACACTAGAAATGACCTTCAGAAACAAACACAGAAGGGCAGGTAGTAGTCCCTACCAGACCTGCCCTTGGATCCCTTGGTCCTTGCCTCTGAAATGGGATTCAACTGAGGTAGTTAAAAAAAAAAAAAAAAAGTGGAGCCTGGCACAGTGGCTCAAGCATATAATCCTAGCTACTGAGGAAGCTGAGGCAGGAGGGTCACCCATTCTAGGCCAGCTCAGGCTACATAGTGAGACCCTGTCTCAAAATAAAAATAGGGCTGCGAATGTAGCTCAGTGCTAGAGCCCCAGTACTACAAAAAGGGGAAAAATATTCTGGGCATTGTGCTGATCTCAGCTGCCTTTTACTAACTCTTTCCTACACCCACTTGTCTTGGCTCCCCAGCCCCTGGAAAGTGCCTAGCACATAGTAAATTGTTCAATATGTGTGCGGTTAATGATCAGATTTTCTTGTAAATGCTGAAGGCTTGCAGCTGCCAGCTCTTCATGTTTCCCCGGGGGCTTCCTGGCCTTCACCTTACCAGGTGGAGAAAGCTGGAGACTCCTAAAGAGCGTGAGAGCAACTCCCCTTTCTCCCTGGCCCAGGGCCCAGCTCCACCTGCGTCCCTCAGTTTGTTGCAGCTGATGACTGTGGTCTGGCCAAAGGAGGAGAAAGGAAACAGCCTGCTGACACCTGCTCCGTATCGTGCTTCTCCAGTTCTCCCCACAGCCCTGTGAATTCAGTAGTGTGACACCCAGTTCCCAGGCCAGACTCAGAAAGTTCAGACTTTGGCTGAGGTAAAGCTAGAGTGATTACCCATGCTCTCCATGGCAGACATAAAGTGAACCGTTTATCCTGTACTTCATACACAAGGAAAGGCGGGGCCCGGCAGACGGCTGACAGCCCGAGCTGAAGGGTACCCCAGCGTGAAGGCACACAGCCCTCAAGACAGCAGCACTGGCTCACAGACAAAGGCTGCCAGATCCCAGAAGTCTGAGCTGGAAGTGAACCATTTTTTGAAGTGCAAGGACCCGAGTTCGATCCCTGGTACCGGGGGTTGCGGGGGAAGCTTCTATAAGAACCCTTTTTTGAATGGCAGGCACATTTCATGTTAAAGAGGCCCCATCCCTGTGAATATTGGACCCCCCACGAAAAGGCAACAGCAAACAGGTCTTGTTCTTCCCAGTGATGACAGAGGCTAGAGGACAGAGCGGGTAGGGCCTGGCAGAGAGGGTGGCCCAGCCTCCAGGAGGCCCTAGGAGTCATCTCATGAAACTGACAGATGTGGCAAGTGTCCCCCAGGCAGTGGGCTCAAAGGCATGGAAGGAGCCTCTGTGACACCCACCATTCTGAGTTCTCCCAACCCCAGCCCGGCTCTTGGCAGCTTCCTGGCACAGAGCAGAACTCCACTGAAAAGAACGAAGCCATCTGAGAAGTACAGAACTCACTCTCCCACACCCTCAACACTTTGATAGAGTGTTTGAAAAAAAACAGCACCGTTTAGAAACCTGGGGCTTTAGATGATTCTGGAGACAAGGCCCTCCTGTGAAAGAGCGAATGATCTCCTGCCCATTTGTCCCCGAGTGTGAGGGTTTTACTAATGCTAAAGAAAAGGCTGCTGGGCCCTGGGATGGTGGTACATGAAGCAAGCATGGGAATAAATGAACACATAACATGGGAAGTAATACAGTGGGAATAAGAGAGAGGGGAGGGTCCCAGAGAGTCACTGAGGAGACGTTCAGTGCAAGAGAAAGGAAATGTGGGCCCGGGCAGGAAGGCTTTTCAGGGCATTTCCTCCAAGATATGCATTGGGGCAAAGAGGCACCAAGAGGGGAACTGACCCAACGGCCAGGCCTCCAGAACCTTGCAAGTCATCATTATGTGCTTCGGCCTCCGGCCAATCTCACTCTGCCTGTGACACCAAAACCTGTGTTCCGGGTCGGCTCTGCTGGTTGTGATGGCAGTCCTAGGCCTCCTCCCTCTGACCCTAAGTGTGTCTGGACCGAGCGCCTCTCCTGGCGTGGCCCTCCGCTACCCAGGGGTGAAACAAGGCCCCAGGGGGTGGGGAGAAAGGGGAAGTAAAAAGAATTAAGATGTGCTGTGTACACCCACCAACTCTCCGTGATGAATGTGATCATCATTGACTGCAAACGTGTACTGATAAAAGTGTAAAATTTTAAATAAAATAAAGACCTCAGGCCAGAAAAATGGTTCCAGGTGGGCCACAGGAATTCAAGGGAGGACAGTAAAGACAGAGGGTTCAAGGAAAACTTCCTGGGGTGGGGTGGGATCTGGGTAGATCAGCCCACGGGAGGGCACCCAGGAAAAGACCCCGAGCGACATAGGAAAGATGGAATGCAGTGGCACATGCCTGGAATCCCAGCAAGCGTGAGCCCAGCCTGAGCTGCACAGTGAGATCCTGTCTCAAAATAAAAAGGGATGGGGATATAGCTCAGTGCAAAGGTCACGGCTTCAATCACCTGTACCAGAGGGGGGAAAAAGGATGAAGCGTCAGTTTCCACTTTGCAGAGACAGAAGCCTGGTCCTAAGGGAAGAGGTCATTCCCCTGTGTCCTTGAGACGACCAGCAGGGCCAAGCTGAAGCGTAACAGGTTGGAAAGCTGGGACTAGGCTGGAAAGCAGGGGCTCTGTCTTCATGGCCACATCTCTTTCAGATTCCCCTCAGCAATGTGCTTCTGAGAGTTCAGCTGAGGAGTGATGGGAAGTCTGCCCAGCAGAAGGAAAACCCTGCCGAGCCCAAGCGTGAGCCCCTGTGTCCAAGGCCAGGGACCTGAGCCCTTGAGAGCCGGTAGGTTCTCCCCAACAGGCTTCATGTCCTAGTGTTCACCCCTCCCTGACCGGGTATTAGTGAGTCCCTAAGTATACCAGGGCTTTCCCAGCACGCCTTACAGGTGGGATCCCCGCTCCTGAGGAGTTTATGTTAGTAGAAAAATATTAGTCAGCCAGATAGATGAGAAAATAGGAGGGACTAGAGTGGTGGAGCACTTTCCTAGTGCGTGCAAAGCCCTGGGTTCAATCCCCGGTACCACACACACACACACACAAAAAAAAAACCCAACAACAATCAACAAAACCCCACTTCCTCAGTCACACCAGCCCCATTTCAAATGCTTAGTAGCCACATGTAGCTAGGGGCTATTTTATTGGACAGCACAGAACTGTAGAACATTTCCATCACTGCAGAAAATTCTCCTGGATTTAAACTAGAGCCCCTTTTTTTTTTTTTTGTTTGATATTTTTGACACAGGTCTCAACATGCTATCCTCCTGCCTCAGTCTCCTGAATGCTGGGATTATATGTACGCACCAGCACACCCAATTTAGGCCTTTTTGTTTGTTTGTACCAGGGATTGAACTGGGGACCTTGCCCTTGTGAAGCAGGTGGCAGAACCACTGAGCTAAACCCCTGCCCTAGGGTTCTCTTAATGGTGAAAAAAATACACCGTGCATATGCTAAGCCTTTAACCATGGTTTTCAAAGATAATCCTAACTGAAAATCCCAGCTTATAGAACAGTTGGACAATGGAAATACCCTAGAAATTCTGATATTTTTATGTCAAAATTAGGGCTCCTGGTCTATTTCTTATTCCCCAAAACAGTCCCAAAGTTTTTTTTCAAATTACGTCTTGATTTAGAATTTGGCTAATGTGTTGGGGTTCTTCATAGAAACAGAACCAGTAGGGCATGAGGGGAGTTGGCTGATAATTGGAACTGGCTCTTGGGAGTGTGGGGCCTGTTGATCTGAAGTCTGGCCGCAGGCTGTGTCCCTGGGGGTGAGTCACCACAGTGTGGGCCCAACAGCAACCTGCAGACAGAATTCCCTCTTCCTGAAAGGACCTCAGTCTCCTCATAAGGCCTTCAACTCATTGGATAAGGCCTCCTGACTCCCTGCCTCAAGCTATCAATTTAAGAGTTAATAATCTCATCAGGGGTTTAGCTCAGCAGGGGTTTAGCTCAGTGGTTCTGCTGCCTGCTTCTCATGCGCAAGCTCCCGAGTTCGATCTCCGGTACCAAAAATATAAAATAAAGAGTTAATCTCATCTAAAAAGATAACTATATCTAGATATAGATAACAATACCTAGACTAGTGTTTGACCAAATATTATCTGGGTACTGTGGCTAAGCCATGATGACCATAACATTACAGATAACAAGATCCCTCCAGGACATGGGCAATTAGACCGGACTACAGACTGTGCAGCCAAAATGGCTGGATGTATGGGTCTGGGCAGGCACTGTCTCCAACCAGAATATTCTCCAACAGTGGCAGGTCTTCCCTCCTTTTCCTCTGCCCAAGCCTCTTATTTCCTTAATACCAGTTTTCCCCAGGACCCTTGGTACGCTGAGGCTCGTTGACATCTGTAGGGGAGGCAGCTGGCTCCTCGTAGCTACCTCGCCTACACTGAGAGGCCCCTCAGGAAGAGACTGGGAAACCACACAGAGCTTTACCTTGGTTTCCTCTGAATCTAGCCACAGCCAGCAGTCCTGAGGCTGCTCTGAGTCATGCCCAGGGCTGCTGAGGGTGGGCCTTCCTGGGCAGAGCTGCTCTGGCCCAGTAGGAGGAAGAGTTTGGGGCAACTCTCTCCAGGAGCCAGCTGTCCTTCAGCCTTGCTGCCAACTTCAGCCTACTAAAGCTCTACCGTGTGCCAGGCCGTATGGCAGGACCTGAGGACACAGCAGTGGATGAGACAGGCTTAGTGCAGCTGTGTTAGATTTGGCGACAGTGTGTTCAGGGGGACTCGGAGTATGCGAAAGGGGAAGTCAGGTAGGTGTACCATGAAGGGTAACGATGAGTCAGCCATGTCAAGTGGGGACCATTCCGGGACACTTGCCTCTAGGGGTACAAGGCTGAGGTTTTCAAGAAGAAAAGGGGCCTTTCCAGGCCTCTCTGTTCCACAGCTATTGGAAAGTGACATCAGCAAGACTTGCGTCATTTATCCAAGCACCAGGCACTTCTCTGTGCGGTGAGCCTGGCCTTGGGCTACAAAAGGGGCTAAGAGAAGGAGAGCGCCTGGGATCTGAGGTGAGCCCCTCCATGGATGTGCAGGCCTTGCATATGTGTGGGAACAGGGTTCTTTTCCTAAGTCAGTCTCACTCTTCCCATGCCCGTCCACAGGAGAGACCCTTCAGCCTCCACCCGATCCTTAGTACTTGCCTGTTATCTGCTCCCCCTCAACAACTCCTGGGGTCCCCAATCCATCCAGAGGGCATCCCAAGGCCCTCTGGGACCTTGGCTCCTTTGGGAGCCCCTAGGGGACAGATGAACTCTTCTCACTGACCTTGACTGTTGCAGTCACATGTTGGCCAGTTTCTCTTTTAGGGACCCTTCTGAAGAAGGTCAGGAGGAAGGACAGGAAGGATGGAGTGTGGGTGAAGTGGTATGCAGCAGCCACTGAAGGCAGGTTTCAGCCCAGAGGGCCCCGTGAGCGCAGCACGACTTGTGGGACTGGGCAGGCTGATCTCTGAGGTGGGTGAGGAGGCAGGTCCTGTGCTGACAGAGCTGCCTGGCCCCTGATGCCAAGCCCAGAATTGGGTCTCACATCACTGCAGCCTCAGGACTGCTCCCGGTGTGACTTGGGGCTTAGTCTCAATCTGGCTCTGTGACCTGACCCAGACCAGTGACTCTCTAGTTTAAACCTCAGTCTCCCTGGGAGTTGGAGTCAAAGAGAGCTGCTGCTACCCAGCCTCATCCCCCCGGACCTGTGAGGCAGGGTGCTGAGGTTGGTCCTCAGGACCTCAGTGCCCAGCGGGGATGAGTAGAGACTACCCAGGGCAGGGGTGAGGCCTGAGTACGAGGCGTAAGGATCCAGGCAGGGACTGGCATGCATGTCCTTCAGAGATAGCAGGCTAAGGCCAGACACTTGATGGGTCACACACTGGGGACATCTGCTGTGGGCCAGGATAGGACAAAGGCCTGGGTAGCACTTCCTCTTCTGGGGCAGCACAGGCCTCCACCTACTGTCCTGGACAGAGGTCATGGGAAAGCCACTCTGCCCTTTGCACAGTGCTCCAGAGTTACAAAGCCATCACCCCACAGAGTCTTCCTCGCCCGTCCCAGCAGCACGTGCCCAGGTGGCATTTCCCAGGCCCATCCCAGGGCCTCTGTATCACCAGGTCCCAGGCCCGGCCGTTAGCCTTTCTGAGCTTCCTTCCCCAGCCTTCCCAGCTAGTACAAACCCATTAACACTCAGAACTTGAGTTCAGGTCCAAACTGATCCCTGCTCAGAGCCGTAGGATTTTTGTTTTTGGTACTGGGGATCAAACTCCGGCCCTTGTGCTTGCAAGGCAGGCGGTGGAACCACTGAGCAAATCCTTGGTCTCAAGGATTTTTGTATTTGTTTAATGTTGCTAAAGATTGAACTCGGGGCCTCCCAAATGCTAGGAAAACACTCTACCACTGAGCTGTAGCCCAGAGCTCTAGGTTTTGAGTCTCCAAGCAGCAGAATCCCTTCTGTAAAGCCTCTGTGAAGGCCAGGCATGGTGGGACATGGCTGTGATCCCAAAGATTCAAAGTGTAGTCCCAAGAGCAGCAATATGTACATGGCCTAGGAGCTTGTTAGAAATGGAGAATGTTGGGCTAGGTGAGGTGATACGGGCCTCTAACAATCCCAGCATTTATGAGGCTGAGGCAGGAGGATTGCTGCAAGTTTGAGGCCAACCTGGACTACAGAGACAAACAAACAAACAAACAAACACCCTCAGTGAAAAGTTCTAAACAGGGGCCACAGCCAGGACTTGCAGGAGAGGAAGGGGCCTTCCAGGCCTCTTTGTTCCACCATTATTGGAAAGCGACTTCAGCAAGACTTGCATTCCTCTTGCCATGAGCGTGAGGCCTCCACAGGGATCCCACAAGCTGTCTGGGTGCCCCAGGGTCTGCAAAGCCTGCGGGATACCAGAAGGGGTGAGTGAGGGCAGCCACACTCCACTAGACTTCACATCTGGGGCAAAGGCTGGCCAAGAGGGTGATTTGTCTCTGTCCCTCTATCTAGAGAGATGCCAGCCCACAGCTGTGGCCCTGGGCAGTTTCCCAGCAGGCGGGCAGGCTGAGCTGTCTCTGAGACTGGGGGAGCCATTGACCGTCGTCTCTGAGTAAGTCTGGGGGCACTTGGCACCGAAGATGCACTAATGGGAGAAGGGTCTCAGCAAAAAAGCACGCAGCCTTTGCTGAAGCTCTCACGGGACTGTGACCCCATGGCAGGTTTCAGGCAGTTCAGGGAGAGGAAGTGGGATTAGGGCCCTGGACCTGGCCATCTGCACCACCCTGGCCAGGAGGAACCTGGACTGGCAGGAGCAAGGGAGCCTGGGAAACATGTGATTGAAGGCTCCAGCCCGAGGGAATCCTTGTGAACCCCAAAGCTACAGTTCCCAGGGCCTTGGCTCTTCTGAAGGAGGTACCCTTCTGCTTTCTCTCTCCAGGGATGGAGACTGGTGGACGGTGCTATCACAAGTCTCCGGCAGAGAGTACAGTGTCCCCAACATGCATGTGGCCAAAGTCTCCCACGGGTGAGTGCCCACCCCAGGCCTACCTTAGGGACCGTCCTGTTTTCTCTCCCACAAATATTCGCTATTATGCTCTGCCCAGCACTGAGCAAAGCTGGGGGATAAGGAGAATCAGGCCTGGCCCTACCCTCCAGAGGAGCAAATGACAACCAATTCTGGCAAGATTGTCCCCTGGGGAAGGCACTCAGGAAGGCCCCACAGAGGAGATGCTGTGGTCTGAGATTGGAGGGTGGCTGGGATCTAGTGGAGAATTCTGACAGGGACATAAAGAGACAGGCACAGTCTGCATAATGTCTTTAGGCAAGAAAACAGAGGGGCAGTTGGAAAGGTGAAGGATTGGAGAGATATGGGTGGACAGAGGTGCTGGGGAGACTGAGGAGTGGTAGGAAAGGCTGGAATCACTCTGACAGCCCCTCATGCCACTTGGGAATGAGGCCTCAGGCAAAAAACAAAACAACAAACAGGCTGACCCAATGAAGTCATCCTCCTGGGTTCCTGGAACACCAGGGGTTGGGGGCTGCTCTTCAGGGTACAGGCAGCAAAGGAGAGAGGGCTTTGTCAAAGCCACACATAGTGGGGCGGGGTTCTAGTAAAGTCCTACCTCACCCCCAGGCCGATCCTGTCCCTCTGCCTTGCTCCTCCAGGTGGCTGTATGAGGGCCTGAGCCGGGAGAAAGCTGAGGAACTGCTACTGCTGCCTGGGAACCCAGGAGGGGCCTTCCTCATCCGGGAGAGCCAGACCAGGAGAGGTGGGTGAGCCTGGCCCCAGCCCAGGGCTCCCTTGCAGGGTGGCCTCAGGAGGGGAACCACAGAGAGCCGGCTGTCCCATACTCCTCGTCACTCAGTAAGCCAAGATTTCTGTGGGACTCCGTGGGGCCCAGGCTGGGGAAGATGGCAACAGCCCGTGATGGGATGGCAGGAGCAAGGCAGCTCACTGGGGTCACTGAAGGAGGCTTCCTGCAGGCATGGCTGCGAGTTGAAAAGAGAAGTGTGCTCCTGCAGGCACATAGGCTTTGAGGTGCAGTTGTCCTGGGATGGGGAGGAAGCAGAGCTTGCAGGATGTGTGAGGAGGTGTGAGCAAGAGGCAGGAGCGGAACCACTGAGCTAAATCCCTGGCCCTACAATCCATTTTAATTCAGCACTTCTGAGGACTTTGCCTTTGTCTAACCGCATTTCCCAAATGCTTTTGAACACAGGAACTTTTCATCATACCGCACCTAGTAATATTCCCCCATATCCATTCTCCAGTTCCAACCCGGTGGGGAAGCTGCAGAGAGGAGAAAGAGGCTGCTGTGTGCACCGGCTTTCCCACTCCCAGGTCAGTCAAGCGGACCTGGTCCTTACTCGGGCAGCTCCCACTGGAAGCCAGTGATTCAAGGCACACACTTTGGGGAACAGCTCCGTGGAGGTTTGCTATTGTGCCAGTGCTTGTCCCCTAGATACCAGCAGCCAAGTGTGGCATGACTTACAGGTAGGCACAGGGAGGCCAGATGTGAAGGGCCCGAGTACTTGGCCGTAGTCAGCCAGTCAAGCATCTGACTGCCATGCAGTTTCCATGAGAACCCACCAACAATAACGTAATAATCTGCATTTCTGAAAGCAGGAGTTGGGCTGAGGGTGTAGCTCAGTAATAGAGCACTTGCCCAGCATGTGTAAGGCCCTGGGTTCAATTCCCAGTACCACAAAGAAAGTAATAAAAGTGGGTATGAATGGCCTACAGCAGGATTTAGGCTTATTCAACACTTGGGCACCTAGACTTAGAGCACCAGGATTCCCCTACCCTAACCAGCAAGGATTCCTTCCTCCCCAAGATGTGACAGGATCCTGGCCTCTTGGCAAAATGTTCTTTGCTCTTTGTGCTCCAGGCCTCCAAGACAGACCTTGCACAGTAATGGGGGGATTTTAAACACAGTGACCGCTTAGGGAAGAGGCATCAAGGACAGAAGGCAGATCTCCTGTGCCTGCCCTAATGTGAACTGACTGTGACGACCTGGCAGGGTTCCTAGTTCTCTACCTCAGTTTCCCCTAGCACCCCACACACACACCCCGCCCCATCCAGCCTGACTTTGCCTCTCTTCCCCTTCCCTTCAGAGAAACCTGGGAGGACGGCTCCCCAGCTCCTCCTGCTAATTTCCAGACAGCACCTCCTGTCAGATATCCCCATGTGCTAGCTGGGGGTGGAGGGGCCGGCCCCAGTGCAGCAGCTGCAAACAGGAAACCACAGCAGCGGTGCTGACTGGGATAGGGCCCTGCACACCGACCAGCTAGGCTGGAAAAGCCACCGGAAGTACCCAGTGTCAGCTGTCTTGCCCCCACCCCTTCTCTGGCCTGGCTCAGCCCAGAGTGTAGTGACCAGCCCTGGTTGCCACTGTGCCCTTCTCCCAAGAAGGGACATGTACAAAGGGAAGCCAGTATGTCCTGGGTCACAGCATAAAACTTTATTTTGTGCTTTGTGGCCAAAAGAAACCTTGACACCAAAGCTCTAGAGGCCCAAAAGACAATCATAGAACAGTGGTCCTCATATTTGAGTGTACAGGAATCATCAGGGTGCTTGCTGACAATGCCAGCTCTAGGGCCGAACCACAGACCTACTGAATCAGGCTGCTGGGGACAGAGGCCAGAAATCCGCTTCCTTTACAAGCTTTCTGGATGGTTCTTTCTGTTTTCAGAAACACAGTTCTAATCTAAAGAACCCAAAATAGGGAAATAAGAGATAAAGTCAGGCTAGGGGTGTAGCTCAGTGGGAGTACATATGCTTTGTATGTTCAAGGCCCTGGGTTCCATCCCCAGCACTAAAAAAGTGGTGCTGGTGGGAACTGTCTTTTACAGTGTGCCTCTTGCTATATACATATATATTTTTTTAATCAGAAAGAAAAAGTATATATAATGGAATTTTGACCTGAATTTAAAAAATATATTACTGAAATTACATGCAGACAATTTCTAGGTGGAGCCTCAAAAAAAAAAAAAATCAAGTCCAAATTGTGAGTTATCTAAAAATTTTTTTCATGTACGAGGGATCAAACTCAGGACCTTGGGCTTGCCAGGCGGGCATGGTATCACTGAGCCACATACCCAGCCCTAAAACTTTTACAGTTCAGGCTGGTCTCAAACTCCTGGTGATTCTCCTGCCTCAGCCTCCCAATGCTAGGCTTACAGATGTGCTCCACCATGCCCAGAGTTTTCTAAAACTTTTTGGAAATGCCAATTAGGCATATTATGGGCTCATAATCATTCAGAGAGGAAAGTGATTTAACTTTAATTTACTTTCCCCCAAACCTATTGAACCTGGAATCATCTGATATATATATTGGGAGTTAACCATTGACTGAGTACCAGGATCAGCTTTCTGGAGCCCCTGGTCCAGATGCAACTCTGGGATTGGAGTCTGCGTGGACCAAGGAGGAAAGCCTGGGTCCTGAGAACGCCAGTCAGGCCAGGCCTACAGGTGGGAGGGGCGCCCCACTTTCCAGGCAGATTCTCACTCATCCTCAGTGGCTGGTTCCAGTATCATCTCTCAAGGGTGTTTGTCATTCTTCACTCTCAACTCCTATAGCTTCTTCCAAGGCCTCCTCTGTAGCTATAGTAAGTCCCGCCTCCCCAGTACTAGGGCTCGAACTCAGGGCTTCACACGTTAAGCAAGTGCTCTACCACTGAGTTACATGACCAACCCCTAAATTTATTGCTTAAAGCAAATCAGAGAGCTAGGTATGGTAATCCCATCACTCAGGAAGCTGAGGCAGGAGGATCACCATGAGTTCAAAGCCAGCCTGAACTATACATCAAGACCCTTTTTTAAAAAAAAAAAAACAACCCAAACAAACAAAACATATACATACGTACATACATAAATGCAAGCAAAATCTGAGTATGTGGTCTGATAACATGACTACAAGAACTAAACACTTAACCATTAAGGAAAACCCCCGTGGGATGTGCTAGCGATAGTTATTTCCCTAGACTATGTCAGATTGTACCTGTGTGGTCCTTCACAGTGTCCAGCATGCAGTAAGTGCTTAGCAGATGTTTGTGGAATGAATGAGTGACTTCACCTATATATGTAGACGAGCTGAAGCGCTGGGGTAGACTGCCCCGCACACCCCAGGAAGAACGTTTAGCTCACTTAGCATCAGACTGCCAAGGACTGAACCAAAGCTGCCTCCCTCCACCCCTGGCTTCCATATCCCGTCAGCCGGGTCAGCAGAGGGCTGATTACCAGAGAACCGTCCCAGGGCCAGGGGGGCTAGTAAGTGCTCAGTATGTGTTTGTTCAAATAATGCAGTGATAGTGTCTTCAACAGTCAGCTGGGTGTGGTGAGTCATGCCTGGGACCCAGCACTTGAGACTGAGGCAGAAGGATACTGAGTTTGAGGTGAGCCTGTAACATAGCAAGACCCTTCCCTACCAAAAAAAAAAAATCAGTCACAACACCATCTGTACTCACTGGCAGAAAGAGGAGTGCAAATGATGATGAGGGCTCCTTAAAAGGGAGTTAGCACGGCGGCACCGCGCCTGCCTTGTAAGCGCAAGGTCCCGAGTTCGATCCCTGGTACGGAAAAAACAAAACAAAAAAACTGTAGGGCTAGGTGTGGTGCCTGGAATCCCAACACTCAGGAGACTGAAACTAGAGGATTTCTATGAATTTAAGGCTAGCCTGGGCTACACAGCGAGTTCAAGACCAGTCTGAACCAGACAGCAAGATCCTGTCTGAAGACAAACAAAACACTGCTTGTAGGCCTAGCATAGCGGTGCGTGCCTGAAATTCAGCAGGAGGGTGTCTGGGAGCCAGCCTGAGCTACACGGTGCATTCAAAGTCAGCCCGAACTACATGGTGAGACCGTGTCTTACACAAACAAGAACTATGGGCCAGGATTTAGGTCCGTGGTTCTACCACCTGCCTCACAAGCGCAAGGTTCTGGGTTCAATCCCTGGTACAAAAACAAAACAAAAAACACAAAACCAAAACTGCTTTTAGTCACAGCTTTATCAGTCATTCACTTCTTCAATAAATACGTATTGTCGATTCTGTCACTATTTCTTGCTTTGTTTTTTTTGAGACAAGACCTTTCTATGTAGTCCTCCTGCCTCAGCCTCCCGAGTTCTGGGATAATAGCCTGCCTGCCATTCCCAGCTTGGCGAGCAGTTTTACATACCAGTGAGCTGGCTACATAAAAAGCAAGGTCCCTGCCACAGTCTGGCTGGCCAGGTGGACAGTAAACAAAAAAAATCAGTGTCCACAGTGCATGTGCCCTGAGGAGACCCAGCAGCTGCGTTGCTGAAGGATGCAATGAGGGCCGTGTGTAGCACAAAGACCTCCAGAAGGTGCACCAGCAGGCAGCCTGAGGGCTGGAGTACACCCACGGATGAATAAGTCACGCAGGCTGTCATAGGGGAGCATTTATTATTTGTATTTTATTTATTCTTTTGCTTTGAGACAGGGTCTCACTGTGTAGTTCAGGCTGGCCTCTTAACTCACAGCAGCCCTCTTGCCCAAGCCTCCTGAGTGCTGAGATCACAAGTGTGTGTCACCACGCCCAGCCGGGTGAGGACTTTGGACAGATTCTAATGGGGCAGGAAGGTTGGGCTGACTCCCCCACCTCTGCAGAGAGGATCTGCAGGTGGAAAGGCGGAAGTGGGAGGGAAGTGAGAAGTTACCAGAAGCTCCTCTGGGTGGTCAGATTCTGGATGTGTTCTGAGCGGAGATAGTAGGGCTTTCTGACTGCCCCTGAAGGGCTGAGGGTTGGATGTGA